GGGTTATAATTACACCGGTGCAACTTTTATTAAGTATTACACTACTCAATAACTTTATATTAAATGTGAATTTTGTAAATCCAACCGTTAGATTGAAAGTTCATATCTCTTAGATCATATGACTAAAATTTTATATTAATCCAAGATGATTTGATATTTCATTTTAATAAAACAAAATTGACGTAATATATTCATTTCAACATACACTAAAATATGAACACTTTGATTACCTTCAAATTGTTGTTCAATTTTAACAAAATTTGATATAGACGTATAAAGTGATATGAACTTTCAATCTAACGGTTATATTTACAAAATTCATAATTAATATAAAGTTATTGAACAGTGTAATACTTACTAAAAGTTACACCGGTGTAATTATAATCTCCCTTATATATATATATATATATATATATATATTAACATGTATAATTTATTATATATGCAAAATTAAAATTCAAATGTTAAATATCATGATTAAGTCAAATGAAACAAAAATGCTATACTACCTGTATCATCTTGAATTTCCAACTTAGTTTAGAGCAACTTCTTTCCATTATTCTTTTGATGGTAAAGTTTCATGATGTTATCTGATATCAATCATACAACGTAAATATAACTAATATTGCGAATAGGAGCCGTTGTGATGCTGCATAACAACAAAGTAGCTTAGGCCAAATCATTGTGATACAACATAGGAGTAGAATTTTCCCCAACGCTGCACTTGTGAGCCCTAATCTTGAATTGATCTCAAACTAAAAAAATTGGCATGATTAGTGCAAAGAATTTGGGAGAGGATCGAAAAGAAAGGAATAGCGTATGAGTGGGTGTATCCTACCTATACACACATAGCTTGTTTCCTTTTGCAATCTTCTCTTCTCTCGCATTGGACGAAAATCATTTTTTTAATGATAAAGTTGGCTAGCTGTGGGGCACAATGGCATCTGCATCTCCTTTTCATCCAAACGTACCTTTCAATTTCTTGCGTTATCGCATTCGTCATCTCTTTTTCTTTCATTGGTCGTTCTTAATTTCCTCACTCCTTCGTCATTATTATTCGTCTTTGAAGGTTTTCAAAATACATTGCCCAAAATGTTATATATATGTTTATGACTAGCCATGCAATTTTGGCTTTAACACTCATCAAAATTAATTTTAATAAATACGATGACGTTTTCATGAATATATAAATTAGTAATTTTATTAACTGATCAAGAGAGATTACTTGATTTGGATAGGATTTTGCAATCAATTCTTATTATCATCATTAATGAAATCATTATCGCAATGAAATTTCTTAACGAATGACAAGTCGTAGTGGGGTGAATCGGGACCTTATGAAACTCTATTTGTTATTTTACAGGTGAATTTTAGAGTTATTACTTTGAAAAGGATTGTATTCAGTCAATTCTTTTGATTTAAATATTAGTCTTACAATTATACACGTAAGAAAGTGGACTAAAGACAAAACATATCTGTAAGATATTTTTTTTAACATAATAAATGAAGATAACTTTGAAAAGGACAAAATTACAACAACAACAAAAATTAATGAGTAGAAAAAAAATATCTTTGATGAAGGTTATTTTTAGCAAAGTTATCGGACAAGATATAGTAGAAAGAGTAAAAATTAATTTTTAAGTTAAAAGTTATTATCGTATTAAATAAAAAATATTTAATAAAATTACCCATTGAACTATAGTTAAAAAAATATAAAATGACATAAGTAAATATATTATATGATTATTCATATATTTTTTATTTAATAATATATATATTGATGATAATATTTTTTGTGTTTTTAGTTAATTGACCCTTAATAATAAAAATCATAATAACATAGAATTCAGATTTAAGAACATGCGTAGTATATATTACTCCAACTCCATCATTATTAAACTGATTTTAATAATTTAGTTAATTAATTGACTCTTATTATTTTTGTTTAGAAATTAAATATTTTATTAATAAAATAAATAATATATAAATATAATATATTATAATCTACAACGATATATAAATTTGATGGTCAATTTTCATCTACACAATTTTTTTTAAGACTATTTTATCTTTATTACTACTTTCAAACTATCTCTCTCTAACCGTCTTTTTTTTTTTTTTCTTTCTATAATGTGGTTTTGGAAGTGCTTTGTAAGGAATCTGGCGCCCTACCTTTTTTACCCTCACAAACAACCTTAGTTAATCAATCTTTCAAGTTTCATCTAGATATCCTATGTGAGTAATTTTTATATTTTCCTATGTATAGTGGATTGACACTTGACATTCTTGAGAAAATAAAAAATCTAAATTGCCCGCAATGTATGAATATAAAATAGTTTTAGAGACACCTCAAGACCCCAAGTCAGACTATTCTCCTACCTAACAGATATTTGATTCTAATATTAATCCCCTTGACTCGAGTAAACCCTACATGCTTTTGATTAAGTTAATAACAAGTAGTTGATTCGATAATTGTTATTTTTATAAGTCACATTAAATTAAATAAAAAAGCGCCCCTGGCAATCGCATTCTCATAGACTCGGTCGTTCTAGATTTGTATGCAGAGCATTATAAAATGTGAACAAGTTACCAGGTAAATGTTTTAAACCAAACACTAAGCTTAAGTGTTAATTAATGAAGGGATCACATGGTCACATGGACATGTTCGCTGAAGCAAGTCGAACTAGTCAAACATGGTACAGTACACCACAGAACAGAACTTCATGTTGAATGTCGTCACTTGGTGCCCAAGCTTCTACTACACCCTTCATGTTTTTTCCACTCCATTAACATTTGTTGCAAAATATGAGAAAAGAAACGGTCCAAAGAGTGATTTTAAAATTAGTGGGAGTGAGCAACGACATTCACAATTAAGTGGTAAGACGCGTGTAAATTTGGTTTGTAGTGCAGATTGAATTTGATTCAGAAATCATCAGAAGCTAGCTAGCTTTGGTTTTTAAAATTGATTTTGACTAAAGGATTCGGTGACATGAAAGCTAGCTAGCTGCTGAAATGATTAAGCAGAAACGGGTTAACAAAATGGAATCTTGGCCTACTGTGGCTGGGGCATGCAGTCTCTGAATGAAAGTGAAAGATAGGCGTATATTATTTTTATTATCTAAACTCAAACCATAAAAGCGCGCTTGGCGCTTTTTTAAGCTGGACCACCCAGTGCACATAACACAAATTTTAACTTTGCAGTTTGCATCATGTACCCACTCTTTAAAGCAGCTCAAACAAATGAAGTTGCGTTCAAACCCAAACCCAAACCCCGCATATCGTAAGTTTCCAAGACCTAGTCAGAGTTCATAGAGCAATCCTTGGGTTAAATCACGTACATAGTCACATACCAACCACATAATGTGGTCGAGGTCCACATTGTTGATTCATAAACTCGGAATTGCATTAAATAGAGAAAGGTATGAGACGATGATAATAGTAATTAATTAAGGAACTATGTAACAGAAATTACAGAAAGAAAAAGATCGATACTACATCCATATTCATATCCATATCCATCCCAAATTTACATAAGATCATCCTAGCTAGCAAGCTACCCAGCCCCAACCTGAACCCACGAGAGGGGCAAAAAGGGGAAAGAAAAACTAAGGAGAATGAGAATCTAATCTCAATTCTCACACTCACAACACTTTCCACGACTCCAGAGTAGGAAAGTGGGAGAAAATGTCAAAATCTGCAGAAGAACCAAAGGAAGCTGCACCCTCTAGAGCTGGGGCCAAAGGGAGTGGACCCGCCCCCGAAAGCCCAGCACCAGGCCCAGGCCCAGGCCCAGGCCCACCACCTACCGCCTGATGCTCTAACAGGAAAGCCGACGTGTCCAGCGTCGGCAGGAACCCCGCGCCGCCCG